AAAAAAAATGCATTCCAGGCCTCGCTATGGTGGTGTGTGCTGCTAAGATGCTGCGTTCCACAGGCTGGGACCACACATGAAGCCCAGTTAGATGCCCGGTCCTACTAAAGACCAGGCACGGTGGCGTGCATCTGCAATCCCAGCATCTCAGGAGGCAGAGGCAGGAGGGTCAGGGGTCAAGGCTGGCCTGGGCAGTACAGCAAGACCATGTCTGAAAGAGCCAGCTGTGGTTCATCGCATCCACCCTCACGTCCTCAACTGCTTGCTGGACAGGGCTGGCCCTACCTGCAGCCCTCACCTCCCTCCTGAACTCCAGGGCCACACCTGCCACTGCCCACTGGGTCCTGCACGTCCCGGACAACTCACACCCAACGCGTCTCCCACAGAACTCACCTCCCACCTGGGTGCTCCCCCAGAGCAGCAAATGAGATGACCAAGTGAGTACCCCAAAATCTGGGCATCCCACATCCCTTCCCTACTCTATGTAATATTAAATAAAATACCCAGGAAAACTTGTCAACCTCCTGGGCCCTACCCATCGTGGGCGAACCCAGTCTCCCAGGACTGGGGCCTAGGGATCTGAATTTCCAGAAGGGTCCCTGAGCCTGGCTTGAATCCCAAGCTGGCCTTAGGGCACCGCTGTCCCCGAAAGGTGGTATGTTCAAATCCTGATCCATCCTGCAGCAGTGGCGACTACAGAAAACCACCGTTGGACTACAGCCTGCCTCGGCTTCCATGCCCGCCAGTGCCCCCCACCCCCAGGAACACTGCGTTCAAGACCCTTTGTCCTTGCTAGAGTGACTTTCTTTTTAACGAATTATTTATTTAAGTTATTCATTCATTTATTTTAATTTGACCAGAGAAAGAGAGAGAGATACAGAGAGAGAGAGGAAGCGAGAAAGTAAGCCACCAGATTCAGGATTTGAACTGTGGTCGGCCATGTGGGAGTGTCCAGCGCCTTACCCGCTAGAGTGACTTTACCTCTTAGAGCTGTCCGTTCTGATAGAAGCCTGCTGCTCAGGCCCGGTCAGACGAGGCGGTGATCTGGCTTTGGAAGAGTCTACCCCATTAAACTGGATCTCAGCCAGCCACTAGCTGGAGTGGCACTCAGCACCTGGCTCAGGGAGGTGTCCGGCAAAGGTTGGTCAGGGGAGTGCAAACGAAGACAAGGAGGGAGAGGGTGGCTCAGAGGGCTTGGGCTGACTCTGCAGGCTGTTTGGGGGCCCTGGCAAAGAGCTGGGTCGCTACCTGGCAGGGATCGTGTTCTGGGTCCCGAGGCTAGATCCATAAGGAGACCACGGGTGGTGTTTTTGCTGACCTCTTGGCCCTAGGCTCTGGGTGATCGAGCCGGTGATGGTAGCCTGCCCTCCCCTTCCACATGCCACCTGATCAGGTTTGGAGCTTCTGGGGACTCCTGACCCCCCTCCCCCACCTGCCCCAGCCATTGCCAGGACAGTGGGCTCACAAGGACTCCGGGTCACTTTGCATTGTACCACGGAGCTGGCTGTGCCTTGGCCCCAGCCCCTGCTCTGCTTCATGCACCACTGTCCTGTCTTGGCAGCTCCAACCTGCAGGCAGACCCCTTCACCTGGCCCCTCGTGCCCGGCCCTCTCTGCGCCTCCACCCCCTCTTTCTTCGTTCCCTCTTTCTGCTTTGTTCCACACATCCAGTGCCTTTGCTGCTAGACCTGCTGTCACCTTACACCCCTGCTGTCCTGGGGCTCCAGGCTGCTGCAGTACTGGTTCCGACCTCCTGCCCCCTCCCCTCCCCACCACTGGCTATAAGGCTGAAACCTTGTTGGGGAGGAGTATGGGGTGGCAGTGGCCTGCAGTCATTGGATGGTACCCTGTTTTGCTGGCTCACTGTAGATACACCAGACTCTCTGGGAAGTGGGTTTGAATCCGTGGCAGCCTTATCCTCAGGACCAGCGACTTCATTTGCAGATCCTAGTGCAAAATGAAAACACAGAGCCCCTTGTTCAAAAAGGATTACGAACTTCAAGATGGCAGTAGCAGAGTGTTCCTGCTTTTCCCTTTTTACAGTCGAACCGCCAGGCCCTTCAAAGCCATGGCCCTGTGTGGCCGCCCCGGTCACACATCCATAAAGCTGTCCCTAACTGTGTGAGTCTGCCGAGGCCATTTTCAGGAGTCTCTTACTATTGCCATCTTAGGAAGCCCTTAGGTTTGGGTTTCTCAGAGAGCAAACAATTACACAATGACAAAGGCCATGATTGGCTCC